TTCACCCTTTTTGCTTAAAAGCTGTTGCTGGCCAGGCTTGCTGCTTTGGTCGTGCCAGGAGCTGAGCAGAGGTGGGCTCACATGGAGCAGGAGCAAAGCACAAGGAGGTTGGGTTGTGTTTAAGATGCTTGTGCTTATTGTTATATTAAAAATATATATAAACTCCTTTTTGGCGGGTCAGGCTCCAAGTCTTGCAGATACAAAAGGGTACAAGAAGAGGATGTGTTAAAGAAGTCAGGTCAAATATCTACCTGTAAAACATTGGTGTAGCTGTAGTTTGTACCAGTAATGGAGACACAGGGAGGACTTTATTTTATTTTTATTTTTTCAAAGGTGCCTTATAAGCAGGGCCCCACTCCCACAGGTGGCAGATCAGCACCAAAACCCATCAAGGCTCCACTGAAAATCCCAGGTCTCTGCAGAGAGTCTTTCAATTTTCTGCTGAGCCTTTTGTAAGTTGAAGAGTTGGGACGTTCAGCTGTAGTGGTGTCTGTCTGCTAACAGGCTATGCAAAGGGGCTACCTGCTGTAATTGAGTCGTTGGTTTTGGGGTGGTTTTTTCCTTGCCTTAAGATTCTCTGAAGATTAGAAAATTATCGAAAGTTAGTGTAACAAGTCATCGTTTTGCTGAATGCTGAAATCACTGAATATCATGGAGGTGGTCTGAGCACTTGTTTCTGGCTCTTGCAATCAAGGGTTTCTATACAGGTGTCTTGAAAGAGGAGAGAAATGGAAACTGGAAGACCAGGAAACCTGAAAAACATTTTCAGCAAAGAGACACTAGCACTGCAAGAAACTGTCACTTAGTTTCTCTTCTGCTGCTGAAGCCACAAGCTGTGTAAAAGCCGAAGCTGCCTTTCGTTGCTTGTTTCACCCTTTGGTGCTGACCTGTAATTTCCAGATTTCACTGTCCCTGTGTAAACTCTATCAGTCACATTGACAAAATGCTTTTGACTCAACCTGGCCTTGAAATTTCTCTCCCTAGGATTTTTGGGGGCCTTTTCTACAAACGTTTGTGTTGCACAGAGGTGAATTCTGGTCGTGACCAGTGGTGAGTGGTGTTTTTTCCTCTCCTGTACTGGTAGCAACATTCAAAGTGATACTGTGTGTAACGGTCGAAACCCAGAACAAATACCTGCAAAGGAAGCGCTCATGCTTGGTTTCTTTGGGATTTCTGTTTGCCTGTTAGGATGAGGGAGGGTCCTGGCATACGGCTTATCCCTGGGATGTTTCTTGTGTATTGGACTGTTTATGGGTTTCCTGTAGATGGTTCTGCTTTTGCATTTTTATCATTTATATATCAAGGGATGTATAATCCAATGTTCCTACTTTACTATTGATGTCAAATAAAGTATTTTCAGTTATGACGTCTAGCAGCATTACTCTGATTTACCCCTCTGGCTGGGTGGGTTTCTGGCTGATGGGGTGGACTGGGCCATACCTTAGCCTCCTTGCATTAACTTTCTCCTGCTTTCCCCCCTCTCCAGCTGCTCCTTTGAGTGAGTTTCCCTCTCTACACTGCAAATTTTTTACTGATGTTAGAGAAACAGATCCAAGAGTCCCCAAATGACACCAGAAAACTGTAAGGTGGTTCATTTATCTGTGGGTAGGGTGACAGCCCCCCAAAGCCTCCTGAAACTGGTCAGAGGACACAAACCTTCACCCAGGCTGTCTGCTGCTTGGGGAAACAGGCCACTGCTTACTCTCTGGGTGCTTGTGGGTTTGGCTAAAGTGTGGACATGCAGAAGTAATTCCTGGGAAATTCATGCAAACGTTTGCCTGTGTTCCTTGGCACTTTCTCATGAAAACAGTTTCTGTGACAGAGACCTTCCTGGCTGCAGGACTGTGACTGTGGTCAGGCAGCTGGCATGAGGTCCCCAGTGCTCTCCAGGGAGAGGGGAGCTTGTTCCCAGCTAGGATCAGCTACCAGCCTCTGGGTCCCAGGCTGGCACAGTGGGCAGGACATTCCCAAACCCCTACAGTTGCCTGGAGGCATGCTCAAGACCATATTGACCAAGGGCTCTGGGAGATAGCACTAGCTTCTGCCTGTTTCATCCCTCTAGGGATGGGGACAGAGCAAGAGCATCATTATGTGGGAGTTGCCAGCACACTGGGTGCAGCAGAGGGCTTGGACAGGGACACAGTGAAGGAGGGTGGGTGGTCCCTGTGGCATCTTTCATTGGCTTTTGGACTCTGGAAGGCGTTGCAGATGAACTGTAGGCATTTTCTTCTTGTAGTACACAGTTTGGTATTCTAGGGGCAGAAAAACAGTCCAAGAACGACCTTCCACTTTCTCCTACTTCTGTCTCCAGAGTATTGAGCTGTTTCTCCCCTCTTCTGTTCGGGTGGGTGAGGAATGGGAAGGAGTCACACAGCTTGATGGCTGGAAGAAAGCCTGTATGGAAATTCTGTCCCTTGCTGAAAGAAGCAGCTGAGA